CACACACACACTAAAAATGTCACATATTTGTATAGCTCTTCCCCTACTATGAGAATTACTAAAAATTCACTGAGTAGTCATTACATTTTCACAAACATCAGAATCCCCCCCCACACACACACACTAAAAATGTCTCTGACCTGTCTGGGTTTGTTTCAGTTGCAATTTCAAATCGGCAACCTGTAGAGTTAACCTCTTTACGGAGTTACTGTAATCAAGGATCTGGGCCTTCAGCTGTGCAGAATGTTCAATCTGAAAAGATTTAGGGAAGGAAAAGAAATGAACATAAAACAAATCACAGTTTGGGACGCCTGGGTGGCTCAGTCGGTTAAGCGTCTGCCTTCGGCTCAGGTCATGATCCCAGGGTCCTGGGATTGAGTCCCGCATCGGGCTCCCTGCTCCGCGGGGAGCCAGCTTCTCCCTCTGCCTCTGTCTCTCTCTCTCTGTCTCTCATGAATAAATAAATAAAATCTTTAAAAAAAAAAAAATAATGCTAAAAAAACAACAACAACAACAAAAAAACAAATCGCAGTTTATTTCAAAAGAACAGTTCTCTCACCCGGCTTATTCTCTTTCTCTTTTTTGCCAATTCTGAGCAGCTTTATACCTATGAAACAACAGAACACACTAACAAGTTTTCCAGCTCCTTCTTTACTCCTTTCATACAGCAGCTACTCCAGGACGGGAGGCAGACATGAGAAAGAGAGCGTCAATACTGTTAAGTTGTGGGGTGAGAATCAAGAGATACTTTTAACAGTGGGCACCATCAAGGAAAACTGGGTGTTTAGGAGAGTTTACTTTCCTCTTGATTTTATTACTATCATGAATATAATGTCACAATCACTCAAGAATTTTCTCAGATGAGAAAGAATACTGGGGGAGTAATTAGCATATGGGGGGAATTTCTGATGTTCAAATAGATCTGATTTATGCTGGTGTGACACACGCCAAGTTTACACACCCACAAAGTGCACTGACCTAACACTTGGATGAGCCAAGAGCAATACTCACTTCACTTTGCAGCTGTTTTTGCAGAGCCTGCTTGTGGCTTTCGAACTCATGCTCAAATGCAATGGCCTGTTCGGCTTTCTTTAGTTCTTTCTGAAAAACCACCAGCTCAGGAGATGGCTGAGCTGTATCTATGAAGGTAAAAAAAAAAAAAAAAAGCCTGGTCATTACCAACCTGAAGTTTTCTCATTTCACTTAACAAAAACAGCTAGAGGCTTTAGATGGTTCTTCCCTTTCTTTGTATGCACACAATTAATACCAGTTTTATTGAATGGACTAAGAGCAGTCCTGAATCACCAATTTCAGAACAAAAGAATTTAATGCACATAACTGCAAACTTTACCACTCTTCAGAGTTCTACTCCCAGTAAAAGAATTCTTTCAAATCCTCAAATTAACGTGAATGCCCGCCTCTCTCCTCTACTATGCACAGAGGCACAGAAAGAATGCTCTGTCAAAGCCTGCCAGGGACTGCCCCTAGGTCCAATCCGACCTGTGAACCTGTCAGCGGCACTCAGGGTCCAGAAAGAAAGCAGATGGTGTCCCCAATTTGGGTCATCACAAGACCCCTTAATAAAGAGAGACTTACACAGGGTACCGCAAAGGACGGTGTAGTTCCCTGGGCTAGTACTGGGGCCACGCTGTTACCAGTCCTCAGGCCTGGAGGCTCAGGAAGGGAGGCATTCCCAGAATTGGGGAAAGCGAGCAGGCACAGGGCACTGGTGAAGCGCGAGCCCCCAGGTACTGGGATCTTGCTTTGCTGAGGCCCAGGGCCAGCCCAGGGCTACTCCGCAAGGAGGAGATGGAGAAGGGATCACAATCACCTCGACCTCACTCTTCCCTCCCTCCAAGTGCTTGAGCGGGTCCCCAGTGGCCAAGCACCACCAGCCCAGAGGAGTCAGAGGGCAAGGGGAGCCGGGTACCATCCAGAGGGGCAGATTTATCCAGTTAATAAAGTTTTTTCCTTAGTGACACAATTACGAAGCAGCAAGCAAAAACAAAGTACCTTCGATTCGAGAATCTGAATTTTATAAAATCTTCCCGATTGAAGCTTCCCTTATAGGACAAAGCAGTTTCAGAGTACTAAGCTAACAGCGGCTACAAAGCCATGCCAATCAAAAAAAAACACCTACGGTTTAGGAGACGCAAGTTTTCATTTCTAGTCTCTTCCAGTTGTTGTTTAAGTAATTTATTTTGTGCCTGGAGCTCCAGTTTCTCTTCTTTCAGTAGCGAATAGTCACTCATCTCTTTCACCTTTTCATCCAGCAGATGGTTTTGCTTTGTTATTGCCAAAGACTGGGCTCTGACAGACTCTAACTCAAGCTGCAATTGAAACAGAAAAACTTGTGACTTTGAACAGTGACTTTACAGGACTGCTTAAGTGAAAGCTGGCAGGCCGCCCTGAGCTGGGCATCATGACTGAATTAAGGCCCCTTGACAGAAGTCTGGTTCTCCCCAACGAGACCCTAACTCCCGCAGTACAAGTCATCTTTTGCCCTAGAGTTGGGGCAGGGGCAAGTTCATCCAACTGCTACTGTGTACAACCCTGTCTTGCAAAGCTAGTGCTTCTGACAATCACCCCATTTTCTGGATGCAACTAAGGGCCCAACAACGTAACCACAGATAGTAGCAATATATAAATATATAGACAGATAGATACACACACATTTTTTTTTTTTTGTAATAAAAAGGTAAGATACCCTAACATGCTGTGGGGTGCTTTCTTTTTCTTAGTATAACAGAGCTCAAGTTTGCAGCCTGCGAAGTTCTCAAGCAAGTCCTTACAGCTACAAATACGTTCTGTATATAAAAGTTATTTTCAGTACCTAAAGTTCCAGTTCTGTCCTTCAGACAGCAAACACACAAACAGAAATAAAGTGACAGTGGCACACCAAAAACGCATCTCATTTTGTTGTAAGCTGTGAGATCCCGACATCATGACAGGAATTTTTACCTGCTGCTGACGGGAAGGGAGAGGAGGCTGAGGTAGAAGCTAGTCTGTATCAGCCGTGTGCTACGCACATCAGTCCGCTCACTGAATTCCCTGCACAACCATGGAATGTAGGCAACATCCCAAAGTCTACAGGTAAGGAATCGGAGGTCAGAGAACTTGCCCAAAGGCACATAAGCAGAAAGGGAGAGAGACAGGATTCAGGCAGGACTCTAGGCCCCAAAGGACATCCTCTTATGCTTCCCTAGGAGACTGAGATTGAAGTGAAGAACTAGCGAATGAACGAAGTGCAGCCATCACCTTCTTAGTCATGGAATAAACAAACACATCAAGAGGAAAACTGAAGATAAATTACGTATGACTAAAACTGAAGTTTCATATATTGTCTTAATGTCTGTTTCAAAACAATAGGCTTAACAAGTACCTCAAGCTCTCTGACACGATTTACTGAATGAGTAAATTCTTCCTTTTTTGAATTAATAGCTGTGAGCTCCTCTTGCAAACGTATAGCTTTTTCTGAAAGAAAGAGCCAACCAATTAACATCATCATGTTTTCCTAGTGAATACAAAATCATTTAATAATTTATGGCCGTAGATCAGCCCTAATGACTATTATTTCACTATCTAAACAGCAGATGTCAGGGTCAAAAGAAAATCAGCAGGCAAGTACGAAGTAAGCCGTTACGCCACAGGTGACGGGACGTTCGCCGCTGTCAAATACACGGCGAACTTCCTCCCGCTACACACACCTTAGCACTTACACCATCTGCTCAGAGCACAGGGCCCTCATGCCAACAGGTCTGAATTTCCTTGAAGACAGAGACTGAGTTGTCTGTTGTGATTCTGTAGTTATTATTTTATTATTTTTACTTCATCTAACACAAGTCTATATAGATACCTCATCAAAAAACACTGCCGAATCCACGATGGTACGGATACCTAAATGAGCATTCTTCGCCTTCACAGACAGTTGCGAAAGAGCAGGCCCACGTTGGGCGACCTGGCTGGGCGGTATCAAGTACCTAGCCCTGGTGTCCTCCTAAGAGTCCATTTAAAATTGCCACTAAAGGGCGCCTGGGTGGCTCAGTCGTTAAGCGTCTGCCTTCGGCTCAGGTCATGATCCCGGGGTCCTGGGATCGAGCCCCACATCAGGCTCCCTGCTCAGTGCAGAGCCTGCTTCTCCCTCTACCACTCCCCCTGCCTGTGTTCCTGCTCTCACTATCTCTCTCTCTGTCAAATAAATAAATAAAATCTTTGGGGGCGCCTGGGTGGCTCAGTCGTTAAGCGTCTGCCTTCGGCTCAGGTCATGATCCCGGGGTCCTGGGATCGAGTCCCACATCGGGCTCCCTGCTCGGCGGGAAGCCTGCTTCTCGCTCTCCCACTCCCCCTGCTTGTGTTCCCTCTCTCCTGCCTCTCTCTCTCTCTGTCAAATAAATAAAATCTTTAAAAATAAATAAATAAAAAATAAAATTGCCACTAAAAGTTTAGCTTGTCATCGACAAGTTACTAGACATATATTAAAATGTAAAATATCTCAAAGAATGAAAAATTATCCAACTTTCCTAGTTTCCGGCTAATGTATACAAGAATTTAAGAGGTTATAGGTCAAGTGAAAATATCATGAAGCATAAAAACACATTAGAAGTAAAAGAAATAAGAAACTAGATCACAGGGACAGAGAAGTTAAAATTTTCATTAGGAAAAAATGAAGTCTCTCATGGTTAAGAGTGATATTTACAGGATGGCAATAAGTTGCTGCCACCTTCTTGACAATCACATTTATCAAAATACATTGAAATAAAGTTGGATAAAAATCCTGCTGATAAATCACTAACCCTTGTGAATATACAAAAGGTTAAACACTAAGGTTCACAAAAATGTAGTAAGACAGTATTTTTTTATTTTGTAAAATTAAAACAACAAAAAACATGTAATTTTTGTAGTAACAAGGATGTGTATGCTATGTCTTTTTTAGAATACAGAATAGGCCCAACTAGGAAGCTAACAGCCTACATCAGCACTGAAAAACACAGCTTGCCCCCAGAGTCACCTTTATTCTTCCTTTCATCTTCAATCAGCCTGTTCGTTCTGGTGATATAGTCATCCTTTAGTTCAAGTTGATACCTGCCAATCAGAAGAACCAAAAATGAGCTCCTTGTCGCTTTCCTGGACAGACTACCATCAATACACGAGCTTATCTGTGGCGCCAGGGCATCTAAGGGCACCGAACGTGACAACACGTAAACCTCAGGCTCTCTCAAGACAAAAGCCAGGGATATGAATTCTGAACATAAAAGGTCCATAAAACCCTGCTGTGATCCTGTCAATTCGGTCCCAAAACTCAATCACACAAGATCAAGGGTCCTGTTGTTGTTGTTGTTGTGAGGTTACAGAGAGCAATTATTTCTCAGTTGGTCTCGACTGACACAAGGTAGTAGATTAAGGCCAACTTACAGTGTGCGTGACAGACTCTAAATCCCACATGATAACCAAGTCAGTCACTTGCAATTCACCTATCCGTCTCCCCTCCCTAAGATAAGAACTTTTGCCCTTAAAGGCTGAGCACGGCATTGAGAGCCAACTGCCACGAGCTTTAGACCTGAATTAGCAATACCCAAAGGCACATCTCTCGGGGCTTCAGCCATCTCCACCAGCTGTTCCCAGTTGACTTTCTGGTTCGGAGGCCAGAAAAAGGAAGGAGAAGCAATCCTGTGATATCCTCCCAACTTCAACACTTGGCTAAAGACACAGAAGGACCCCCAAAGCTGGACAAATGATACAAAACAGTTCACTATATCCATGGCTAGGCGAAGTTAACAAACTGTGAGGAATAAAGGAAGAAAAACGTGTGTAACAACTAGGGTTACTTCAGTGTTCGCTAGTATGTTAGAGGAGCAGACATAAAATAGGTAGATCAAATCCATCATTTCGAAACTGATACAATGAAAAGATGCTACCTTTTTTTAACAATTCGTTTAAAGAATAACTTCCAGAAACCTTTGTGGGTACTATGTAACGGAATACCAATGACAAATTATGAGCAAGGCAATAAAAATGAGGCCAATGACTAAGACCTGCCCAGAGGAGCTGAGTGGAGTCATCGCTTCACTACACATGCACTTAGTCAGTATTAACTGAGCACTTATTATGTGCCAAATGGCACGCCACGCATGCGAAGGAGTTACCATATGGGCTTAATGCCTTTGCACGAAGAGATTATTCACCGAGATACAAAACTCAGGCTATAGAAAAGCCCCAGGGACCACACTTGTCCATATTCTCCTCTCCTATGCTGTGTTTTGCTTCCTATAGCTAATCCTTTTTCTGGATTCGGACTTGGCAGAACCTTGAAGGAATACCAGGCACACGTTCAGTGACGAACCCTGTCACCGGTAAGAAGACCACCGTAGAAACTGTGGCCTATCCCCATCTTCATGCCAGTATGAAGAGAGAACGGAGGAAAGTGGTTGTACTTCTGACTTTTCAGCTGCTCAGCTGTGCAAACTGAGCAAGTCCTAAGGTGCCCTAAAAACTGAAGCAAACCATAAGCTCTCAGTGTCAGAGAAGCTACGAGTAAGAATGAGCAGAGGATGCTATTCTCTGCATCTTTTTAAACCCATCTTAAATATTCATGGAAAGGCTTGACTACCAATGAAAACCTGTATTTTTTTAAACACCAAATTTTGCCATAAACTGTCTTATCTCCCAAAAAAAAACCCAAAAAACAAAAAACAACTGTCCGTCTTATCTATTTCATCAGTGTTGCTATGCTTCTAGCAACTTAATGAAACACGGGATTCCTTTAGCAATGCCACGCAATTACTTGAGAAGTTCATTCTTGAGCTTCTGGTCATAGCTCTCCTCAATGCTCTTTATATTCAGTTCCCGCTTCCTAAGTGTGTCAGTTATGCTTTTATTTTTTTCCTCTTGCAGCCTCTGAGTCCTGAAATTAGCAAAAATAGAGAAAGCAAATAAGAAAACCACAACATCTGAAGTAACAAATTTAGGGGGAAAAAATAGCCTGTGTTTTAGTTCCTCCATCTATTTTATGACCTGACTTAGTTCATCAACTAGCAGATGGAATTATCCGGTGGCACCTGGCTAAGGGGAGTGTGAATGTACCAAGACCAAAGTGGTCTCTTACAGAAGAGGATCCACACTCAAAAAAGGGTTACAGGGGATCAATGGCTACCATCAATTTAGGGATGAAAAAGTGATGTTTTTAGTTACAAAGCTACAAACCAAATTCTAGTGTACTTAAATGCTTGTATCTTCTGGAGTATTACCTTCTAATTGTGAGGCTTAACTGATGAGCCCATAAGAATTATAGGTAGAAGATTCATTTTGGGCATTTAATAATCCATCGAATGAATGTTGAAAAGAGTGACGAGAGAGAGCAAACGATAGATGGGTCCTTCAGAACCTCCAAATCCGGAGAATGGAGTGCTTTTCATGGAGAGACCCCCCAGTCACCCACAAAACCAATTCTGGAGCCGGGAGTCAGGTTCACAAGTACTTAGACCAAACCACAGTGAGGAGTGCTATGAACACGGTTTCAAGCAAAGGATAAACGCTTTGTGTTAGAGATCCCTCTGCTGGCTAATCTGTAAAGCAAAGGAGCATTAAATCCATTTATTTTAGTTTAATATGCTTAGACGGGAGGAGTCCGGGACGTGGAGGTAAGGAAGTGATTATATAATCATGATTATGTAACTGAGAATCTGCCCAAATTTTGCCCCTTTACTATTTTCTATCAATGTGCCACTTCAGTATCGCCAAAAGGAGAGTAAGGTAGGCAGAGAGAAGAAATCAAATGAATAGAGCCTACAAAAATGAAAAAACAACATTAATGAAGATGGAGACAAACTCTTAAATAAAATCGGATTCCTGGAGTATCTATGAATGTCAAGATCCCAAATGGGAAAGAAAGCTTATTCCACCAACTACAGACTGGTGAGCTTGGTATTAATCCCAGGTAAGATTTGAAGGCTGATACACCTGTGAGCACTTAGAAAAAGTAACACACACACCAAGAGAAATAGTTTCACCCAGTACAAGTCAAGTCAGAGTCACCATATTTCTTTTTTTTTTTTTTTTTTTTTACAGTAGAGCAAGTAAACATAGAAGGTCTGGGTATCTGGAGTTCAGTTGCTACGTGCATGTGAAACTATTAGATCTGAACAGAACGTAAATGAGAAACACAGGATTTGTCAAAGCATTATTAGCTTCTTCAAATCACGTATCTGGTCTTACTATAGCCCAATGATGGTGTCTCATTCTGCTTTTCACCCTAATGTCTAATATTTCATAAACAAAACCCCAGTCTTTGTTTCTCTTAATCTGTGCCTTTTAAAACCAGGTGTTGTCACTTTAACAATTAAAAACTCTACTTGGCAATTAGCATCAGACTATTAAGACACCTATTTAGTTCTTTTAAATCTCATTCATTCTGAATATCCAAAACGAATACACATTACTCACAATTCAAAAGCTTCGATCCGTTGCTTCAGGTCGGCTTCTCTGCCTCTTAGCAAATCTATATCTTTTAGTAGAAGCTGCCTCTGAGCATAAATTTCTTTGGTTTCCATCTGTGTATGAAAGCTTTAATTTTTAGTAAGCAAGCTAAAGAAAATAAAACAGATCTGAACATCCTGCTTCCTAAATTCCAGAAAACAAACTCCAGACACTTAGGGTTACAATTTCCCTTTCTCTTAAGAGGTTTCAATTCGAGGTATGCTTTTTGCCTAATTCCTTACCCAGACACATGTTCCCTCCTTCAATGACTGTGAAACTCCATTATCCTGTATTCCTAACATCCCTGGTCTATTTATTCTACGTAACATCTCTCGGACGCTTAAAATTTGGGTAAGTGCTTCAGCAAGAAAAAAAATGACAAAATGGGTGTTTAGCAATAAAACGTCAAAAGAATAGAATTCCCCTGCTTCTGTTGCTGTTGGAAAGTTTCAGTTCCCGTTCTGACTCAGCAGTAGCAAGCTGAAGGAATGGGCCACACCTCCATTTGTGTGTCTGCTGAGCAGGGCTTCATGGAACACCTAGCCTATGTCAAACAGCACACTCAGAGCTGGACAGAGAAGGATGCAGATACAGGTCCCACCTTTACAAATTGTGCAGTTCAGTCAGGGAGAGAGAAATAATCAGACTATGATGTGAGGATTTTATAACCAAAATACAGAAAGACTCCGTGGCAGGAGCGACAGGCGAATCAGTCTGTCAGTAGGAGTCCAGGGAAGGCATCACAAGGAGGTGGCATTCCAGCTGGATTTCGAAGGCCAAGAGGGTTTCATCAGGGACGAAAGGAGAAGGGCATTCCAGGTGGTGGAAGAAAGACACGATGCTTTGCATGAGGAGGGCCTTCTTGTCCAGAGCCTTCAGAGAATCAGTTAACTAAATGAGTATTCTGGTCTGGTAACTGATTGGTCTGAACTAGTCAGTCACCGGTCTTGAGGATGCAGTTGTTCATCTAAACATAATCCAATCATCTCAAAGACAGTGCTTCCCACATTTATTTTTATAGGAGCCCAATCACCAGAAATGGTAAACAAAACCTTACAGGGGACGCAATCAGCATGAAACAACTGGGTCTGACTGCGAAGCCCCGAGCAAGAGCTCCCGACGGCAGCAGCTCCGGCCGGACACAGGAAACAGTGGTCCCAATCCAGGCCGGTCAAAGATAGCCCCTTGGGAAAGGAACCGGATTCTCCTACAAGAGTGGACCCCACGCCTCCTGCCATGTCTCAATCTTTCTACCTCCCGTCCAGTCACTCTCCATGAGAGATCAGATGGCCACCTGACTGACTTCTGCAGGCCTGGACTCCGTTACTCCAGGGACCTTGACCTTCGATCCAATGGCAGCACACTGGTTTTGTTGCCAGTCTTCACGTGACAACTCCGCCTGCAACCCTATCCTCTTGGCCCATGCTTACCCTTCCACCTGTCGGTAGCCCCAGACCTAGTCCTTGAGGTCTCGGACTCTGCCACATGGCCTTCCCTTCTCCCCTGGGCTAGTAGCCACCCATCTTGCCCTCTGGCTTCCTTCACCACCCCACCGAGCCCCAGTGTCTTCAATTAAACAGGCTGCTTTTCTCAAGCCAAGTCAGCTCTATAAAGCTCCGCTCCCCAGGCGCCTCTTTCTACCCTGGCTAACCTTACAAAGCCTCCCAAGAACTAGAACAGAGCAATCGCCTACAAGCGCTTGGTTTGGTCTACATCAGTCACAGGCTGCCCGTCTCAGCTGGGCCCCCAACACAGTGCCACCAGTCCTGTCTGCCTCAGAGCGTTGCTCTGCCTCTCCCCCCACGCAACCGTTCCCCAACTGCTGATCCTCTTCTGGAAGCTGCCCCCCTCACCCTCAGATCTGCCCAAGAGGATGGAGCTTATTCAGTGTGAGTTTCTCACAATCCCCACATGGATGTTCGCACTCACAGTTCTTTCCTTCCAGCCGTTTCAGAGGAACGAAGTCTGCATATCGTTTTCAAGGCCGATCCTTCCACTTGTGCTCTTGACCCCAGTCCCTAGTACTCCTGTAGGGCTCTGTCTTGTCTAACCAACTGTCCCAACCCAGTCTCAGACCTTGAGCCAATCTACTAAGAGCTGCAGGAAACAGACACCCAGTAAATAATTGTAAAATGTTACCTCTTGGTGCTTTTGAATTCTCTCAAGAGCCATCTTTTCCCGAGAAATGAGGGCTTCAGATTTTGCTTGACAAGCTCGCTCCAATTCGTTCCGGAACTCAGCTAACTCCCTCTCAGCCTTTCTTTTCTCTTCCATTTTAACTTTTTCTATTTTGGTATCTTTAAAATATTTCAACTGCCAATGGATGACAAATAACTATAAATACCAATAACTATACTAAAGAAATAACTTCTCTCTTGATGGCTAGGTTTAACACTAATGCTCTACTTAAATATATTTAGTTTAACTCATCTTTAGTTTCATCTCATTCACTGTACCTGTAGCATTCATTCAAAAGGCACAAAAAATGACATCAATTAGAAAGAAAAATCACATGTGCAATAGTTTATCACATTCATTAATAAAGATTCTCCATTTTTCCCCTTATACCTAACATTAAGGCATCAAAAGATAAGCACCAATATCACTCTTGCTAACAGCAACAAGATACAACTTACCTTTTGACACATTTCTGCCTGAAGCTGCTGTTCTATTTCTCTCTTATATTCATTTAACTTTATTTCTAAAGATTCTAACTTGGGACGCTGAGGGTAAGCATCCGCAAACTGATCATCAATTAGCTGAAGCTTTTCTGCTATTAAAAAAAAACAACAACAACAACACAGGAAGTTAGGACAGAGAAATGTGGTCAGGTGAGCAAGAGGCTAGAGCTCTGTTCAAAAGCAAAGAGTATACTTAGGGGAAAGTGTAGGGATCTCTGCAATTGACTCTGAAACATTAAAAAATTAAGACGGATAAATGGATGGGACAGACAAGTGCTCGAGCAAGTATCACACAAATTTGCTGGGAGCATCTAGGTATACAAGTGTTCAGTGTACAACTGTTTCAACCTTTTTGTACGTTAGAAAATTTTCCTCCTCAAATGTCAGGGGCAAAGAAAGCAAAGCGTACAATAGAAGTGAGAAAACACTGGCATCTCTTTCTAGTCCCTAGATGCCAAGGCAGAACAAAGTGGACTTTGGTTAAAGGTGACTCACACGTTCAAAACACTGACTTTAAAATAAACCAAAGATCAAGTATTTCAACTCTTCTGCTTTACAGAGAAGGAAAGTGGCCCCTACTGTTTGAGTGAGTCCTCGAGGGCTAAGCAACTATGTAATGGTGTAACTGGGACTGAGACCAGGTCCACTATCTCGCATTCTAGCGCTGTTTCCAGTAGACCCACAGCCCTCAAACCAACTGTGGATCAGAATCAACCATGCAGCAACATGCAAATGTGTACCTAGAGGACAATCTCAGCCATGGAGAACACCAACACCCACCAAAGAGAATGCACATGAAAAAAGACTGGCAGAAGTACTGGCAGTGTTCATCTCTTTAGAAAATTTTAGACCGGGCGCCTGGGTGGCTCAGTCGGTTGAGCGACTGCCTTCAGCTCGGGTCGTGATCCCAGGGTCCTGGGATCGAGTCCCACATCGGGCTCCCTGCTCCGCGGGGAGCCTGCTTCTCCCTCTCCCACTCCCCCTGCTTGTGTTCCCTCTCTCGCTGTGTCTCTGTCAAATAAATAAATAAAATCTTTAAAAAAAAAAAAATTTAGACATATTTTCCATTCACTTTTCTGTATTTTCCAAATGCTCTGTAATTGTGCTGTTCAATACAGGACTCTCTAGCCGCATGCGGCCACTGAATAGATGAAATGTGATCATCTGAATTGACATGTGCTCTAAGTATAAAAGACACACCAGATTTCAAGGACTGAACACAGAAATTTTATCTAAAATAATCTCATTAATGTTTTTTATACTGATTACATGTTGGAATATTTTGGTCATATTGGGTTAAATAAAATATATTAAAACAAATTCACCTGTGGGTTGTTTTTTGTTTTTTACTATGGCCACTAGGCAATTAAAAAATACATATGTGGCGCATATTATTGGACAGCACTGTTCTAGAATAAGCATGTACCATGTTCCCAATGGAATAAAACCTATGCCAAAATAAATTAAAGGCCTAGTTATACAGTGTAGCTTTTACCAATTATAGGCTCATCTTCTTCAAGGTTAAAAAGCACCATTACTCCTTAAGACTCCGGAAGGGCCACGAAATCGATTAATCACATAATTTTAGAAAACTTGGACTCTACTATCAGTTCTGCCCCAGAATGTTTCCAAGTTGCTCTTCCTCTGGAGACCCCCATTTCCTCAACTATAAACTGAAGTGATACACCACTGACTTGTCTAGTTCTCTGCAATGCAACTCATCTAGGATTTTCTCACTTAGTGGCTGTAAAATAAAGTTAGATGAGACATAGGGAAGAACCTGCCAGTTAAGAGAGGTTGAATGCAACACGCAAGGAAGAACGTGGGCCTTTGGATCCCCCCAAGATTTGGAAAGGGCAGCCTTAGCCGTCACGAAGGGAGGGAGCAGTACTGGAGAGCAGTTCTGGTCCCTTCCCACAATGATTCCAGAGGAAATGAGCACCTCCGCCACCTGCAGGTTGCATCCCTCCCAGTCAAGAACAAGCATGTAATATAGTAAATCAGGTCATTTCTGTCATTTGAAAACAGAACAATTAAAATTCTGAAAGAAGGCTACAGTTACCAAGAGAGTCTTTGCTAGGAAATGTTGAACTTGTCTGAGTTTCCATATCACGGCTCACTTTGGACTGATGATATTCTGCCAATTCTCTTAAAAACTGCATGAGAAAACCTAAAAGACACAAAGTGTATAATACAGTCTCATTGCACAAATTTCTTTCATTTAACCATTGCTCAGTCACTGTTTATATGATCTTGGTTTTAAAACATTATCCTTTTTTACATTCTAGATCTTTTAAGAATAATTTCTAAGGAAAGGCCTTTGCAAACATGACGCAAAACGTAGAAGCAATAAGGATAAATATTTATCACTCTAACAATATAAAAATCAGAAACCTATATGGCATGAAATGAAGTCAAAAGACAAGTGATACACTGGAAAAAAAATATTTGCAGTAATATGGAAACAGAGGACTAATTTTCATAATATCAAAGAGCTCTTACAATTCAGGAAGAAAAAAAATGGAAAAATGGAACAAGACACGGACAAAATTTACACAAAAAAAGTTTAACTGTCAAACGTGAACAAAAGTATAAACAAATGCAAAATAATACAACAGAGAGACTATATTTTTCCAGTAAGATTGCTAAGATTAAAAACACAGGCATATGGGACTTCTGGGAAGATGGCAGAATAGGAAGATTCTAAACTTACCTCCTCCCACGGACATACCTAGGTAACAGCCACAGCAGAGCAACTAACCCAGAAAACAAACCCAAAGACTGGCAGAACAGACATCCCACAGTTAATCGCAGAGGGGAGGCCACACTGAAAAGGGCAGGAGGGGCAGAGACACAGCTGGGAACCAAACTAACCACCAATTGGAGGGACACCACAAGCACGGAGAAGGGAGAAGAGCAGACCCCAGCCACACCAGGCACCCCAGACAGGGGTGACCTGCACTGAAAAGACGAGTCCCCATATCATTTGGCTTTAAAAACCAGTGGGGCTTAACTTTGTGAGTTTTTACAGCCAGCAGGGCTTCCCTCCAGGTACCTTAATAATCAGCGAGCTTAGCTCTGGGAGAGCTGGAGGGCAATAGGAAACGGAGTGTCCACTCTTAAAGAGCCAGCATAACAAACAACCCCACACAGAAACAGCACAGAAGCAGCAGTTTGAAAAGCTCCTGGGGTACACCTGGAAGGAGATTCATTTACTAATCTTCGAACCTGTGCTATGGGCAGAGATCTTCAGGAGACATCTCCAAAAACAAAAGAGCTGTCAGGAGCCATTTCTCCCCACACCCCCAAGTCTAGATAGCCAGACACTTCTGGGAACAGCATGAACACCCCCCCCCCCACCTACCTACCTTACTACCACTGCCCAGCTCCCGTGTTCTCCTGCGGATCTGCCCCATCCAATGCCCAAGTGGCAGGAGTCCCTCCAAAGCACCTCCCGCCACGATACACCCCATAAGCCACCACTACAGAGTGACTCCTGCCCTGGAGATAGGAGAGGATAACCACACACATCAGCTCAACTACAGCCCCAGCAAATAGACTCAGGGCAGACATCTGCTCTGCCAGCCCCACCCACCACCCACCTCTCAGCCACAGGAAACAGGCTAAGAGCAGGGATCTGGTCTGACTGCTGACACCACCCAACTACAATCCCATGGCAACTCCAGACTGGCCCTTTAACAGCTACATAAAATGGAGAAAAGCAATATGCCTGATAAAGAATTCAAAGTAATGGGGACACCTGTGTGGCTCAGTTGGTTAAGTGTCTGACTCCTGATCTCAGCTCAGGTCTTGATCTCAGGGACGTGAGTTGAGGCCCTGCGTTGGGGTCCATGCTGGGCATGGAGCCTACTTTAAAATAAATAAATAAAGATACTTGATGGACTTGAGAAGAGTGGAGGATCTCAGTGAGACCATGATCAAAGAGAAAGAAAATATAAAAAAGAACCAATCACAGATGAAAGACTCAACAACTGAAATTAAAAATACACTAGAGGGAATCAATAGCAGATTAGAGGAGACAGAAGAACGGATCAGTGAGCTGGAAGCCAGAGTAATGGAAAGTTCCCAAGATGACACCAAAAAGAAAAAAGAATAATAAATAATGAGAATAGGTTAAGGGAACTCAGCAACACCATCAAGCATAATAACATTTGCATCATAGGGATCCCAGAAGGAGAAGAGAGGAAAAAAGGGGGCAAAAAATTTATTTGAAGACATAATAGCTGAAAACATCCTCCATCTGGGGAGGGAAACAGAAATCCAGATCCAGGAGGCACAGAGAGACCCCAACAAAATCAACCTAAGGGGGTCCACACCAAAACATGTAATTAAAATGGCAAAAAGTAGTGAGAAAGAATTTTAAAGGCAGCAAACAGTTATATACAAAGGAAACCCCAAAAGGCTATAAGCTGATTTTTCAGAAATTTTGCAGGCCACAAGGGCATGGCGACATATATTCAAAGTGCTGAAAGGAAAAAAAAATCTGCAACCAAGCATGCTCTACCCAGCAAGGCTATCATTCAGAATAGAAGTAAAGAGTTTCCCAGACAAAAGTTAAAGGAGTTCATTACCACTAAACCAGCCCTATAAGAAATGTTAATGGAAGTTCTTTGAATTTTAAGAAAAGGCCATAATCAGGAATAAGAAAGTTAGGATATGAAAAAATTTCACAGTTAAATACAAACATAATAAAAGTAGATCAATCACTTATAAAACCAGCATGGAGGTTAAAGTACAAAAGCAGTAAAATCAATTATATCTGTAAAAATCAGTCAAGAGATTCACAAAATAAAAGAATGTAAAGTATGACATCATAATACATAAAATGAATGGGGGGAGATGAGTAAAAATTCAGTGCTTTTAGAATGGGTTCAAATTTAAGCAACCATCAACTTAACATACAGATATATGCATAAGATGTTATTATGAGCCTAAATATAACAAATCAAAACCACTGATACACCAAAAATAAGGAGAAAGGAATCTAAGTACATCACTAAAGAAAGCCAGCAAACTGTGATCATAGAGAGCAAGAAAAGAAAGGAACAGAGAACATACAACATGTAACAAAATGGCAGTAAGTATACACCTATCAATAATTACTTTCAATGTAAATGGACTAAATGCTCCACTCAAAAAACATAGGGTGACTGAATGGACAAAAAATAAGACCCATCTATGGGGCACCTGAGTGGCTCAGCTGGTTAAGTGTCTGACTTTTGGTTTTGGCTCAGGTCATGATTTCATGCATTATGAGATCGGGCCCCTCACCAGGCTCCTGCTCAACAGGGAGTCTGCTTGAAGAGTCTCTCATTCTGCCCTTCCCTCCATTCGTATGTGGCTCTCTCTTGCTCTCTAAATAAATAAATCTTAAAAAAAAAAAAAGCAAGACCCATCTATATGCTGCCTAAAGGAGAATCACTTCAGACCTAAATATACATGTAGACTGAAAGTGAAGGGATGAAAAAACATTTATCTGGCAAATGGTGGAGCATGCAACTCTTGATCTCTGGGTTGTGAGTTCAAGCTCCACGCTGGGTGTAGAGATTATTTAAAAAAAAAAAAAAAAAAAAAGAACAATGTAAATACTTATGCACCCAACACAGGAGCACCCAAATATATAAAACAGCTAATAACAAACATAAAGGAAGTAATTGATAGTAGTATAATAATAGTAAGGGAGTATAACACTCCGCTTACATCAACAGACAGATCATCCAGACAGAAAATCAATAAGGAAATAGTGGCTTTGAAGGACATGCTGGACCAGATGGGGCTAACAGATATATTCAGAAGGTTCCGTCTTAAAACAGCAGAATACACACTTTTCAAGTGTACATTAAACATTCTCCAAAACAGATCACATTAGGCCACAAAACAAGTCTCAAATTCAACAAGATTGAAGTCATATCTTGTATCTTTTCCAACCACAACAGTATGCAACTAGAAATCAACCATAAGAAAAAAATCTGTAAAGTACAAATACATGGAGAAACAAAGGAAAAAGAGACAAACAGACTCTTAAATACATAGAACTGATAGTTGCCAGAGGGGAGGTGGGTGGGGCGATGAGTGAAATAAAGAGGATTAAGAGTACACTTGTTACGATTAGTACTGAGAAATATATAGAATTGTTGAATCATTATATTGTACACCTGAAACTAATATAACTCTATTATACTTGAATAAAAAATAACCATATACTCACACAATGGAATGCATAGCAATTAATATGAACAAACCAATGCTAAAATAGTACCAGTCAATGTCATAATGCTGAGAGAAAGAAGCCATACTCAAGATATATTGTAGGGGGGCGCCTGGGTGGCTCAGTTGTTAAGTGTCTGCCTTCAGCTCAGGTCATGATCCCAGGGTCCTGGGATCGAGCCCCACATCGGGCTCCCTGCT